ATTGATTGATTGATTGACTGATTGATTGATTGATTGATGATTGATTGATTGATTGATTGATTGATTGATTAAAGAAATAAAATAAAATGAAAAAAAAATGAGGCTGCGTACCTTCATTTTTGTGATTGATTGATTGATTGATTGATTGGGGGAGGGTCGCCCACCCCCAAACACACACGCACGCACACACACACACACACACACACACACACACACACACACACGCACACACACACACACACACACACACACGCGCGCGCGCGCACACGCACACACACACACACATGCACACGCACACACATACGCGCACACACACACACACTATGACGCGCACACACACACACACACATACTCTCTCTCTCTCTCTCTCTCTCTCTCTCTCTCTCTCGCGCGCGCGCGCGCGCACGCGCGCACGCTTTGAGAGACAAACAGAGAGAGAGAGGGAATGCGCACTCTAGCATAGCTGCGCGCCTATCTACGAGTTTTTTTTTTTTTTTTTAATCAATCAATCAATCAATCAATCAACCAATCAAGCATTTAATCAATCAATCAATCAATCGACAATCAATCAATCAATCAATCAATCGACAATCGATCAATCAATTTTTATTTCTTTATTTTGTTTTTTTTTTCCCATTGTGATGAATTATATATTTTTTTAATATAAAAGAAGACCGAAAAATAAAATAAAAAATATGGGGGTCTAAAGCACAAAAAGCTCTACACCCCCTTTTTTTTTTTTTTTCGTTTTTTTTTTGGGAGGTTTCGTCAGTTTGTACGGGACCGTTCATGTGGCCGTACGACCGACTGTACGGCCGTACGACGTACGGTGTGTTACACAGGGAGGGATTAGTTGCCTTGGGAAAACCATATCGACCCGCATAAGTCACTTCACAATCAATCAGATCACAGTGTGAGGGGATTACTGCTTCCTTACACGCTACCGTCTGATGTCTCGAAGAATTGGGAGGGGATCGGTAGCTGTATGGAGGGAGAAGGAAGAGCAAAAAGCGTAGCAGGACCAAGATTCAGATGAAGGGAGGGAGAAGTAAGCGAGAAAAGAAAGGGGATGGAAAACAGTTACGGGTTAAAGGAAGAAGGCGCGAAGGAAGAAGGGTGATGATAGTTTGGGATGTAGCGGGAGACGGGGAAAGCTTGCATGCATGGCATCGACGCAGAAATGAAAAGGCATCGAATCAGTTATGCCGTGTCCGATATTAGATGATCCCAACTCCTAGGACTAATTCAAGATTGAAAAAGTTCAAAAACAGTATCCGCGCGTAAGTTTCTATGCCTATTCTGATTCCTACAGAAAATTCACGGGGTTTTCTGGGCTGAATTTTGGGACGCCCATGCAGAAGAAAAGACACGTGACCGAGAAGTGAGCCCGCAAATTCCGAAATTCCCAACTGCCGAACAAAATTCCTAGCGTGCTCGCTAAGGTGCACGTAATTCCTACGTAAAGTTCATAGTCATTGAAGAAGAACAAAAATTCCGGAAGTTCTGAGAAAGCAAAAACGCTTTGCAGAAAAGAGGCCTCGGCGGCCATCGGACCCATGCATTACCCGCCAGCCGAAAAGGAGATAGTTACCCAAAGCCCATTAATGGCCAAAAAGAAAAAAGGTAGCAAAAGACAGGGCTTCAGAAGTTCATTCAAGCACAGGGGTTGGCACGCCACACCCAGGTGTTTCCTCCGCCTCACTCAGTCTGTTCTCTGCTTGTGGCCATGTTTTCTCCCTATCCCCTGACTATGTCACCTGTGCCACCCTAGCCAAAGTTGGATAATGGCCCTGGAGCTCATTCTTAAAGTGTACTCAATATTTGTACAAGGGGCGCTGGACCCGGTTAGTAGACTGAGCCTGCGTTAAAGAAAAAAAGAAAAGAAGTTTTGATTGTTCAGCAGAGGAGAGGCAGGGCTCTTGCTGTGCTAAGGAACTAGGCAAGGAAGGAATCTGAGCTCTGCAGACTGGAACAAGGGGCTGGTTGGTGAGGGAGGATGGGCTTATGAGGGAGCTTAGGCAATTGACTTTTCCAGATAGGACGGCTTTTTTTTTTTTTTTTTTTCGCGGGCCGTCTACTACAGGGGATGATAAGAGCAGCCCCTGCTAGTGGACCCGATGGTTGCTCCATCTATTGGTGGGGAGCTGCACCTTCTGGAGATCAGGTCCAGCGTCCCTTTACAGACTGGTCATTGCGGAGGCTTTTGGCAAGCTCTCTTGAATTCCTGTTGAACTTTCGGTGGAATTTCGCGAGAAGTATTGGATGAAAGGTATTCGAACCTCAGGATGCTTTTTGGACATTGTCAAAGGGAAAAAGAGAGAATGCTTCATGATGACAAACTGGCCAGGGGCTCCAGAGCCAGCCATTTTGGTCCGGTGCCCCGACCCCTGGAATTTGAGGCTGTATACGGCCACTTATTTGTTTTTCAATCGGGGAAAGGTACTGGTGGTTTAAATCAGACATATCCACCTCGTCCATTGGCAGTCTATGTCATGGGGTGGGTTGTCAATCGCTAAAGGCCAGCCGATGATAACTTCGTTGGTTGTTATGTGTTGGGAGGGAGGGTCTAATCGAGGAGGAGGGAGAGAAGATGGAGACTTGCTTTTTGGCCAGTCTCTTTGTTCCGGGTCTTGATAGAAAACCCAGCTTGTGGCACAATCAGCTCCACTCCTTCACCATACACCTCACGCACACGACCCTCGTTCTCCAGCTGCTTCAGGTATTTTTCAGTTTCCTGCACCAACAACAGTCAAGAAGTTCATAACAACAAGACGTACGTACGTTCATGTCACCTTTGAGTATCGAATGGGCAAAAAAAACGCGCCTCAGCAAAGAAAACCACGCCGAGTTCGAAAAGGCAATCGAAGTACCGACGGCCGTGGTGTCAGACCGGGTGTCATATTTACAGGGGTCAGCCGTTGTGTCAGAGGAGGGGTGGGGGAGGAGAGAAATGCCCAATGGATACTTTTGGACCAAAATTGCTCATTTCGAGTTGGCATGTGGTTTCTTTTCCAACGTGAGTTTTTTTTGCCTTTAGGATTTCAAAACATGCTGTGTCCGCCATTATGTCTAACAACAAGTATAAGGGGTAACTTTGGCACAGTCACGAAAATAGTTTGTAATTGCCTCACATACTAGCCAGATACATTCCTCAAAGCACTGGTGTAACTTCCACCTACGTGGATACATAGTTCCTCGTTTCTTTTCTTTTTTTTTTTTTTTTAATTCCTTTTTCTTCTTTGGCCTCCATCCCTGCACTGTTGAAATACAGACCCAGGTTCTGAATTGTGTGGGGCGGCCCCGCCACGCGACATCTGGGCCGTGGCCAATCTGGGGCGTGGCCGAGACATCTGGGTCATGGCCAATCTGGAGTGTGGCCAAGACATCTCGGTCGTGGCCAATCTGGGGTGTGGCCGAGATATCTCGGCCGTGGCCAGTCTGGGGTGTGGCCGAGACATCTCGGCCGTGGCCCAACCATCGTGCCGTTTTGTTTTGTTTTTTTTCGTTTTTTTCCCAGCCGCGGCACGCGACCGAAAAAAAAAAAAAAACGGCCATGTGCCTGACTGAACTGCTAGAAAAGGCCAGCCCGAGTTTCAACTGCAATTGAAACTTGGGCCCTGTCTAAACTGCTAAAACGCAGTTCGCAATGCAATTGCAAACTGTAACCCTGACTGCACCGTAGTTTTCTCCAAATATAATTAGAGCGTTACAACCAATTCAGGTTAAAATTGTCCAAATTTGGTTTCCACCGGATCCAGGTTGTGGGAGAAGGATATGAACAACGAGCCTTCCAACCCGGTACCCCAATCTCGGAACTAGGCCTGGACCCTCAAGAATGGCAATGGGCGGCAACCACAAGGCAAGGCAGCACGACACAAAAGTGAAACCACCTGTACACGCTCAGTGTTAAGACTCAATGACATACAGAATGCGCAGGGAGTCAGGGTCAGTATCAGCATTATAGGAGGGACGCTGAGCCCGGTTCTCAGTATGTCTGGTTCGGTCTCTCCGGGTAGACTGTGAGGACCCCGACCTCAATATTTTCATTGAATATCAGCCTTGGGCACTGGGCCCGTTGATCTTAAAAAAAAAAAAAAAAAAAAAAGGGTTAAAAGGAACCTGCGAGATGTGGTCAACAACAGGTGGAGGAAGCATTTGAATATCAAAAGCCAACTCCCTAAACCGATCAGGTGGATCCGAGACACGAAGTGTTAAACCACCAGTTCTTGGACCAGCTATTGGCCGTGGAAAAATATAGAGTAGAAATTTTTCTAGTCGGCTGAATTTGGGCTCTCCTGTAGTGACCCGTACATTTCCTAAAATTGTAGCTCTTTACGACTTTAGGAAGTACTGGTGGTTTAACCGGCAAAGATCACTTTATTGGCAATGGCAGACTAGCTCAGTAGGTTTCATGTCTGAGTGGCACCGAGTAGGTGTTGGGTTTCTGTGTGTGTGTGTGTGTGTGCGTGTGTGTGTGCGTGTGTGTGTGTGTGTGTGTGTGCGTGTGTGTGTGTGTGACGAAGATCAGAAGAGTTTGAGAGAGTGTGTGTTCCCTATACTCCAAAAAAGCATGACTGTACCAGACTGTTTCGTCAGGACTTAACTGACTCATTCGGAGGTTGAGTGTGTGTGGGTGTGTGTGTTGTATTCGGTGAAAGTCCAACGAAACAGTCTGGCGCAGTTGTGCTTTTATAGCTTATATGAAAACACACACACACGCAAACACGTGTGCGCGCATGAGAGAGAGAGGGAGGGAGGGATGGAGGGGCAGGGGGATGGGTAGGAGGAGAGACAGAGAGAGAGAGAGAGAGAGAGAGAGAGAGAGAGAGAGAGAGAGANGAGAGAGAGAGAGAGAGAGAGAGGACGAAGAGGGCAGGTGAGGAAGGAAGAGGGGAAGGGTAGAGAGAAAAAGTGAGGCAGGAAGAGGGGAAGGGTAGAGGGAAAAAGTGAGGAAGAGGGGAGATGATGCCCGCTGAATTCGAACGCCTGTTCGACCCTGGACCCCCGGCCACCCTCCTGCCTTTTCTAACCTGGGACGATGGCCCAGGGGAAGACCCTGGGTGACGGCCACGAGGAAAACTAAATTGCAGTTTGAAACTCCGCTGCACAGACTTTTCTGCAAAGCCGAGTTTCAAGTGCATTTCCAACTCCGGGCCTGACTGCACTGCAGAAACCATGTTTCAAATGCATTTTTTAACTGTTTTTGTGACCCCCGCACGCGCAATTACCCCTTTTTCTTACGTTAAAAAACAGTCCCACAGCTAGGAGAGGTCACGCAGGGTAGGCTAGACCACCAGTGCATGGTCCCAGGCGATTTGAGAACAATTAGGCTCTCTCTGAAAATTTTGGAGGCTCGGCGCGACTGGCCTAAAATGGCTGGCGGTGCCTGCCAAATGAAAACAAAAAATGCTGTGCTGGCCTTCCGGCAAAGCTTGGACCGCAGGAGGGATCCACCTTGGTAAAAAAAGGCTCGGAGGTACTGGTGGTTTACGGAAGAAAGAAAGAGGGGGGGCAAGGGGGGGATTGCAAATGATTGAAAGGTGCTGGCAATCAACTACATGGGTTAGCCTACTCTTTGCAGCACCAGCATAGTTTCTCTACAAATTGTCCATCATAAAGGGTTTTGATTGAGAAAACGAGAAAAAAGAAGACAGAACAGCAGGCGATGATCCATTTTCCTCATGCAAGAAGAGTGGGTTCATTTCGACAATCCTTTTGAAGTTTCACTGTCCTCGTTGATGAAAGGAATAAACTTTTCAATAGTTCTGCTCCTGTGGAGACATTTCGGCGAACAGATCCAGAAAAGCTCAGCATCGGCAAGTGTGCAAATGCAAAGCTGTGTTCTTTCCACTCAAAGGACCACCAAGCTCTCCAGATTGACATCAGAACTGTGAGTCGAAAACGAATGTACCCCAATAATAACTATTACAGGTTATCCTGGAACATAGTTAGGACCAACAGGTCAGCCTGGAACATAGTTAGGACCAATAGGTCATCCTGGAACATAGTTAGGACCAACAGATTAGAGCCAAACTCCATTTTTTGTTTTTTTTTGGGAAAACTAGGGCGCTGTCACGATTTCAGTTTGAAAATGTGTTTCAGTCACGATTTCACGAATGTTGTGTCAAACCGAGGAAAATCATGAATGTATACAACCTAGCTTTAGGGTCGGGTGGGGATGTATTGTATTCGAGGGATGCCTGAACTGGATTTTAAACTGAAATCATGACTGCGCCCTTCTCTTTTTTTTTTTTAGGGAAACAGGGGGGAAGAATAGGGAAGGTGGTATGGGAAGGAGCTACAGAAGATGAGGATGGAGACATCAAAAGGAACTACAAGGTTCTGTTTGAGGATTGGTGTTCGATTGATTCCTCAATTCCCTTGAGACCCCTCTCAGAATTTCCTGACCCATTCCCACTCCCCCCAAGTGTGTTAGTCCCCACCTCTTGGTTTGGGATAGGAGACAACATATGAAATAGGACAGCTAATGCTGTTGGATGCAGGACTTCTTGTGTTAACCTTGCTGTGCTCTCACAATGGGGTTCATTTCGACGGGGTACATGGAAGGCAATACAAACACAGTTTGCAGGCGAGTCAGCATTATTATCAGAGGCACTAGCTCCTCATTAGTACCAGGGCTTGAGAGTGTAATCTGGCGCCACTCTATTGAGGGTGCAGAGGTACAGGGAACGCTGGGCCCGGTTCCCAGCAAGTGCTTGCTTTTCTATCCTTGTACTACATCTCAAGGGACGCTGGACCCGTTTTCCAGCAGGTGCAGCTCCCCACCAATAGACTGGAGCCCCCAGCGTGTCAGGTCGGAGTGTATGCTCCTATCATCACCCCTATCTGATACCACGGGTTTCAAGAAAGAAAAAAAAAATCATGACTGCGCCCTAGTTACCCCTTCTTTAAAAAAATAAAGACTCTGCAGGTCCTAATAGGGGGAGTGGTACGAACATTCCCCCCCTTCAAACTCCTCCATAGCCTCAATTTCTGACTGCTGCACCCCTCATAAGCTTGGCGGAACAGGGGAACACGGGGTAACATGAGTCTGCCCTAATATTTTCAGTCTTTGGGGTTCTCTTTATCCAGCTCTCTGCCGCCTCCCTCCCCACCTCTCTCTCCTTCTCTTACACTTGAGAGGCCCAGTTGTCTGTTTCTGTATTTTCACAATTTTTCAGTGGATATGTATTATGGGATGTTAGAACAGGTTTCCAGCATGTGTAGCTCACTATTCCAGCAGCTGTTGCTTCCCACCAACAGATGGAGTCTCCCCGGGAATGCTACCTTCTTCCCCCGAGCATAACACATATGCGTTGCATTCGAGTTTTCAAATTTAAAAACAATAAATTTGAATGGAACGCATATGCATTGTATTCGAAATTTAGGGCCATTCGAATAGAATGCATATGCGTTGTATTCAAATAGAACCCACCCTATGTGTTGTATTCGTTTACAACTCGTATGTGTTATGTTCGGGGGAAGAAGGTAGTGGCGCCTGCTCTTATCAGCACCCCTAGCACCCGCTCGGGTTGTTTAATTTTTATTTTTATTTTTAAGGAAAGAATTAACACCCAAGATCTACTTGCCTTTTTTTCCCCTACAGGAAAGAAATTGCTTGAAGTCCTATGCTTGCAGGGTTCCCCTCTATATAGTCTTGGGAGTAGTGGTAGGAAGGTAGTGAAAGGCGAAAAAAGAATTTGAGAGAAGAACATAGTGTAGTTTAAAAAAAAACAAAGAGAAGAGGAAAACAGAATTGCGGCAAGTACCTCCCTGTACCCTGGATCACTTATTTCCTTGGCATACTCTCCGAACAACTTCACAAATTCAGGGTCATCAAACGCCTTCCTGAACTTACTGGCCTCCTGCAAAACAACATAAATTTCAAAACATGTTGAAGTACTAGCGGCTACCAGCCCTTTTTTTCTCTTTTCTTCTTTTTGGAGGGATACAACCTCTTTGGGGGAAGAGGGGGGTGCGCATGCTGGGAAACGGGACCAGCGCCCCATTGGACATTTTACATAAGATTGAAGTTGTTGGAAGACGAAGAAGAAGAAGAAGCTTACCTCAAAAGTAATTCTACAAATTCATTGGTTGTTCTTATGACCTGTTTTTCTTGGCCGAAGCCTGGTAATGGCCCCGGTACCTCAAACTCTTCTGTATGAATCTCATATGGGACGCTGGGCCCGGTTCCCAGCATGTGCTGCTCCCCAAGAATAGATAGGAGTGTTGTTCCCATCATCATCATCATCATGAGGAGGAGGAGACGAAGACGAAGACGAAGACGACGACGACGACGACGACGACGACGACGAAGACGAAGACGAAGACGAAGAAGCATTGATTATCTTGTTTAATAACCAGGAGATTAACTGCCACGATCCCACGAAAATCAGACAATGTATCGAAAAGAAAGTTTTTTTTTTTTTTTTTTTTTTTTTGAAAAACAAGTGTTCCAACAGCACGTGCTGGGAACCGGGCCCAGCATCCCATATTGGATTGTACAGATCATTTGAGATACCGGGGCCATTACCCGACTTCGACTGAGAACAGTCTGAGAACACGATGTGATTCAGAAGACATGGGGAGGATCATGAATATCTAATGACCTATTAAGGAACTTCTCATGCAGTAAGCCACCACAGAGGTCCTACGAATGCTCACAACCCTCAGAATCCCTAACAAACCCTTCTAAAACTTTCCAACACAGTCTTACTCCCTGCCAAGTTCTTCCAGGCCTCACACCCCCACCCTGCTGGGTTACAGGGCGACACAACTCGCCCCAGCTCCGACCAGCGTCGTCCCAGCAGCAACCCTCGGTTGTCCCTTGGAATGCCCGCCCCAAAGCATCCCCAGATCTCTCTACCAGGCCTCACGCTCCTGCATCAGCAGGTTACAGGGCAACACCCCAGCACCGTCCAGCGTTGTTCTGGCATCGAACAACCGCAGATCACTGAGTTTAACAGCATTGAAACCGCCTAAGATGAGTTGCTAGGAGTCCTAGAGTCCTGAAACATTCTTAAGAACAACGGCCTTGTTTTTTGTTTTTTTTTTCAAGCAATTGAACATTCAAGGATAGGAAACAAACTTTGAGTTCAGTCTATGCAAGAAGCAAACACAAATCTCAGAAGACAAAACTGGCGACCATCCTTCCAACCCCCCATTTTTACAAGCTAACCCAACCCCTGCTCACGCCGTTCTGTCCTCGTAACTTCTCCCCAAGTCTCAAACCCCCTTTTCAGCTAGGATTACAGGGCAGCACAACCCGCCCCAGCTCCGACTCTCGTTGTCATAATGGAATGGAGTGCCTTCCTCCCTCGATATCTCCCCCAGCCTCAGTCTCCAACTGGATCACAGGGTTATACCCCAACATCGGCCAGTCGTCGAAAATTGCTGGTTGCCTGCTATCCTCGGCAACTTCCCAAACCTCAAGCTCCTGCTGATCCGAGTTACAGGACGGAGCAACCACGCCCCAGCACCGGTCTGCGTCGTCCCAACAAAAATCTCCTAAGACATACTCAACCCAAACTAGATTCTGAATTGCCTGTTGAACCTGAAAACCACCCCCCTTCACCCAGTTCTCCTTCTGTCCCAACAGGACTCACAAGAGCAAAATCACCATCTTTCCTGCTGTCTGTCCGCCATCCATCCCACCGGCTAGCCCTCCTCATCAGCAGAACACATGGTTACCACCCCGCCATCTTCTAATCTCCGTGTACTGCCTATACTCTCCCTACCCCCATCGCACAACCCTATAAACTCTCCCCACGCTTCCTCCTCAAGCGACGAGCCGACCTCGTCCACCTCATATTTCGCAAGAGGAGGAACAGTAGGGAGCAAAGCTTACAATGTCCCGCAACGAAGTAGCCACATTCATCTTCATCTCGCGACGAGCCGACCTCCTCCACCACATAGCTCACAAGACGAAGGCTATCTCGGCAGCCCCCTTTAAGGAGAGGAGGAGGGGAACAAAGATCTCCTTACTTTTTCGGGTAATACAAGTAAAACACTGACTGTGGGATCACGAGTACTGCCTGGCAGGATTTGGGTACTCAACTGCCCCACAAACTCGTTTCTATCCTATCCCGTTGCCAGTGGGACCTCGCCCCAGGCGATATTTGTGGCCGACCCCGGTCCTGCGGAGCTTTCAACCAATAGCCAAACAACCGACGCAAAAAATTAAAAGAAAAAACTCGATGGACTTTTAGGGGCAAGTGTAGGGGGTCACCAGCTTCTGGAATTTCCTAACGACCACGCGGCGTCAGTCACGGCCGTGGGGACACCCACACCAGCAACAAAAGAAACAGCCGATTTGTTTTCCACAGCCTTCGAACCCGGTACCATGTGGGATCCCCGTTTTTTCCAAAACGTATGGGATCAGGCCCTTCCTCTACTATACCATTGTGGGATCAGGCCCTTATGAACGGAGGGCCCAGCCTCCTGAAAACGTTATGGGATCTCCTGAAAACAGTATGGGCCCTCCTGAAACATTCAATGCAGGCCCACTGCCCGATGGACCACTGATCAGAACAGATACCTCACTTGATCTTAGCCAAAAGGCCGGCCAAAAGACGATGCATATATTTCCAGGCTCAGCCCTTACATGTTCTTGAGAAACGTCATCAGACCCATTTTACCTTTTTGTCTAATACATATCTAATAAATAAATGCGCACACAAGCTCCCATCTTTTGGTTGGGGAGGGTAGGAGGGGAGGTGGGGTAGGTTGACCAGTGTAGGGGGGGTTAGGAGGGGTAGATTCACCAGTGTAGCGGGGGGGGGAGGGTTTAGGAGGGGTAGGTTCGGATGAGCAGGTAGACTTGGTGGGGATCAGCCTCGAGGGAACGAAGTTCCAAACTGAACTGAACGGCACTTAACATTTCTATTCCATTCTCTCCGACGACCAATCGAGGGACCTGTCCGTGTCATCAATAATCTTCCAGGACCAATCAATCAAGCAGGTAGATTATCCACATTAATAATTATAAATCAAATTTAGAATTCTCAATTGAACCAATTCTAATTATTCGCCTGTGGTAGTTTAGGTGGTATACCTTGGAAACATGCAATCAGCTGTTCTGTCCCATGGAGTGGAAATGACGACGTGTGCATGTCCACGTCAGCATGCTTCGCTGGCAGCCGCAGATGGCCTACGGCTGCGGTTCCCTCCCGCCAACGAAGCCTGCAGGGGGGGGACCTACCTTGTCTTCCCCGGCAAGAGGAATTTCACCCTCGGGATCAGCCTCGGGGGGTACACGCTTGAGAAAGCCACCAGGTTCGGCGAGAACAAGCTTGGGAGGTGTCTCGCTCGGCGGGGGGGAGTGGGAGATGCCAGCTTCTACCGCTCCTACACCCTTCCTTCCTTCACACCAGACTGCTCTCACCTCCATCTGAGGCTGTCTGCCCGGGCAGACGGCTCTCCCGCTGACAAGCCCCTCTCTCCTCCTCCTCCTCCTCCTCCTCCTCCTCCTCCACCTCCTCCTCCTCCTACTCCACCCACTTCAGTTGTTAGTGCAGCTTCGTTAGATGGCATTGCTGAGCTGTATAGCAATTATGATTTGGGTAAAGAAATGGATAAGGAAATGGAAAACAAATTTGTCCGATTAAGAGAGGAGGAGCCGGCTTTCGGTCCCACAGCCATGCTGCTCCTTGGGTTCTCGTCTGAGGATGTGACACGTGTCAATCAGATGCTTAACGAGATGGGCGGGGAGTTTATGCGTGTAATCATCTGTACACCACAGATGTTTAATCAATCCACTCTTGGCCAAGCCATTATCGGCAATTTCAGTGATGATGATGATAATGATGATGATGATGAAGATGATGAGGATGATAGGTTAGCAAGAGGCGGGCGGAGATTCGACTCCTCCTTGTCATCATCAGCTGAGGGATTGCGTGATTGGCAAGAAGAAGCAGGAGAGGGTAAGAAGGAGATAGAGGAGGAGAAGGTGCCACGTGTCTGTATATTATCAGGTCTTACGGGAGAAGAGATCATGATAATGGTAGACGCTTTTTCGGAGATAGGTCTCGTCCCGTCGCCGATTTTTGGCGCGCTGGTTCCCGCCAATTTGGATAAACCCATCAGGCATGTCATCGAGGATATGATGGGTGATCATGAAGAGCTAAGTGGTTGAGGATATGAGGGGAAATATGTATATATACATAGACGAAACAGTTTGTCACAGCCCATCGCTTGTTGTCCATTTCTCTCTCTCTGCCTACGGTTTACCGGGCAGCTCTGTTTGATGATATATATAGATATTACAGTATATATACATAGACGAAACAGTTTGTCACAGCCCCTTGTTTTTTTTTTTCGCTTTTGCGCTCTGATATTCATGTGACAATATATATATATATATACAGCCTCCTGATGAGTCGGTGAAACTCCGACGAAACAGTTTGTCACAGCCCCTCGTTTGTTGCCCTCTTCTCTCTCTCTGCCTACGGTTTACCGGGCAGTTCTGTTTGTGACGATATATATACAGATATATACACGATATATATGTATATTGTATATATACAACCTGTCATCCACGTGGCTGGCCTTGTCCGTAAGAGGTGATGAACAGGTGGGGCTTTCCTTCCTTCTTTTCCTTTCCCCGGTTTGCCTTTTTTCACCTTCGCGCTCTGATTCACAGTGTGACAATATATATATATATATATATCCCTTCCTCTTTTCTTTGCCTCTTTGCGTTTTGGCTGTGTGCAAGTGGGTCGATACGACACACGGGGGTGGGGGCCTTCCTCTTTTCTTTGCCTCTTTGCGTTTTGGCTGTGTGCAAGTGGGTCGATATGACACACGGGGGGGGGGCAGCCGCCGCTCAACCTACATCCACGTGGGCGGCCTTGTACCCAAGAGGTTCTGAACAGGGGGAGTTGTAATGAAGAAGATTAAAAACGAATTTAAGGTTTTTTTGTTTTCCTTGTTTTTTTCGCTTTGGGGCTCTGATATTATGTGACATTGTGCCAATATATACTCCGACGAAACAGTTTGTCACACCCCCTCGTTTGTTGTCCTCTTCTCTCTCTCTGCCTACGGTTTACCGGGCAGTTCTGTTTGTGACAATATATAAATATATATATATTTTCGCCTTTGCGCTCCGATACACGGTGTGACGATATATATATATATATGTATACTAGGCTACCAGAGTGGCCCGGGGTCACTTGCCAGGCCGGGCCAAAAAAAAAAAAAAAAAGAATTATTTTTAAAATCTAATTTTTATTCTAAATTTGGTGAAGAATTTCGATGTGACCCTGAGGCAAGAGTTGTTCAGTTTATTTTTCTGCACAACATAGTTTTTTTTCGGAGTTTTTGGATTTTTTTTATTTTATTTTTTTGCTGGGACCTTCCTTGGTCCTTGCACGGGCTGGACACCCGGGACCCGGGCGGCCCGGCTGGTAGCCTATTATATATATAATATATTGTCACATGAATATCAGAGCGCAAATGCGAAAAAAAGAAAAAAGGAAAAAAGGAGAAAAGAAAACCAGGGAAAATTGAGTTCAATTTTTTATCTTCTTCCTTATAACTCCCCCTGTTCAGAACCTCTTGCGTACAAGGCCGCCCACGTGGATGTAGGTTGAGCGGCGGCTGCCCCCACCCCCGTGTGTCATATCGACCCACTTGCACACAGCCAAAACGCAAAGAGGCAAAGAAGAGAGGAAGGGAACAGCCAAATGAAACAAATAGAACAG